AATTTCAAAAGTACAGTGCAGCCTCATTAATCCGGATGCTTTGGTTCCTAGTCAATTTGGATATGTGAAACATCCGGATACCTGAATCACCAGTTAAACAAGACAAAATAACATTCAAAAATTCTGTTCCCATGAAAAATCATCTGGATACTGAACCATCCGGATATCTGGCGTCCGGATATCTGAAGGCCCGCTGTACCCATTTAGATGTTTCTAACCTCAGCTGAGTTACAGCTAGGGTAAGCTTTCTGATCTAAATTTCCTTGTTGTCTGTGGTTGTCGTCTTCATAAACTTAATGTTCTTGAAACATGTAAAAACCAATAAGGCTACATTGTAAAGATTAAATTTGTTCAAGTCTTGTCTCAAGAGACTGAGAAAGGACCACAATAGAAAAAGGATGGAAGTTTTATTGGTTGTTGGTGTTGTATAGAAAAATAGGGGAGAAAAATGCATCAAAATCCTCCAAAAATCAGGAAGACATTGATTTTGCTTATTAATATGTTTACAATGCTAAAGTTTTATCAATTTGGTCAATTTTTGTGCATATCTTTTTTTCTTTCTTAAAAATTGAAGTAGAAAATGAAAATTAGATAAGCTACAAACTGTACAGTCTTAGAGAATTAATAATGGGCTTGAGTCATTTTTACTGTAGACGTACTTTTTTCAATGGGGTCATAATTCCGCGGAATCTCAATTTCTGTTTAATCCGCGGGTACAAAATTATGCGGATATCCTAGACTGTCACTGTATGCCTTACATTTATAATAAGTACGCTTGGACAAATTTCCGCGGAAAATTGGTGACTGCGTACATAGCGTAAATTAATACCACGCAGAATAAAGTACTTCTACAGTATCTTTAAGTTCATATTCCACAAAATCTAGGGAGTTCTTGTTTACTTGGATAATCTTTCTTATAAGTTAAACCCTCTTTGGTATTCCCTCCAAATAAAAGCTGTTTTAAAACATCAAGACAGCTTTATGTATTCTTTATCTTATAGTAAGGAGAAAGATTAAAAGTTTTTTTTTATAATTCATATTAATAAAATTATTAAAACACAGGCATTCAATCATGTCCTCTTCATATAATGACGATGACTACAGCATTTATTTTTCTTCTAATTTTTTTTTTATAATTTTAAGTCCAAATATGATAATAAAAATACAATTTCAGCAAATACATGTTGAATGACTCATGCAGGGATGTGAATTCCATTTCTTTTTAGTTTTAAAGCTTGTTGTTGTTCTTAACTAAACAGATAAAACAAGTTATGTTTATAATAAACATGATAAATGAATGTTGTTGGTCTTATGGACTAAAGTTTGTGTTACTGTATTGAGATTGCCCTTAATGACTCTATGGATATGAGGAACAAGTTTGCTATGCAACAAATATAAGTCTACAAAATAGAATATATCCATATACTCTATACAGGGATATTTTTGCCCCATGTTATTGTTGCAAACAGTTTTGCCCCAATTTTAAATTTGCCCAGCCATAGTTCTGTTTAAGAAATCCGGGAGTTTGTATTTTAACTTTTTGATATTTTGGACTGAATTTAAAATAAGGTCATACCAAATAATCATTGTGTTTTAAGTTAATGTGTTAGAACTGTTAAATTTTACCATGTTAACATTGAATTTTTTTTTAACTCACTTCAATATTTACATTTCAAACTGTTTTCTTTATGTCGACCAAAAATATGAAAGTTATGTAATATGTAAATTATTTTTTTCTTCAATATTATTGTTTCAGTGTACTTTAAAATACATGAAGTGCTTACTTTAAATGCAAGTATAAGTTTTAGTCACATGTACACATAAGAAATGGGATGTTCATCAACCTGATGAATACAGAGGGCTCACAGCAAATGTGACATCAACAGGGATTGCTTACTCCTTTAAGTCACCTTATCCAAGCTCTTGAATTCTCAGGTGTCTTAGTTTTATGTCCTCCTCAAAGATTTATATTTTTGAGATGGATCAGTGTTGTTTTTTTAAGTTTCATTTAAGTGCATTCATACAACTCTATTGAAATCTGATGAAATGCAACAACTTTCAAGCATTTTCACACAGAACACACACTGAAGTGTCTCGAAATTGGTCTTAGAGAGAATTTTAATGTTAAGTTCATGCAGAAGTAGATGAAATTAATAACTGTGTGCATTAATATCTGTATATACATAAGTGGAGCATGGTTTTAATTGACACCCCCTCTTCAGATCAACAGGAGCCGTCTGATCCTGATTTAGAACCTCTCTCTGAAGAAGAATCTTTAAATGTTATTGCTCACATGATTGCTCAAGAAGTTACGACATCCGGAGTCCCGTCGCCACATGCAATGGATTTACAGCAGCCAGGAAGTCCTGAATCACCTCCTCCTGAAATGCCAAATACAAAGTCAAGATTTCACAAAGTAACCGAGGAGCAGGTTAAAAAATATGAGGAAATGACGCAGTCCAAAAACACCAAGAAACATACCAAGTGGGGAGTTAAGATATTACAAGGTAAGCACCTGATAAGGTGTAAAGAACTTAAGATATTATTATATTGTAAGCATTTGGCGAACAGGGCAGGTGTTAAGATAGTACACCTCACAGTTAGCATTGGCTGGGTGATTAGATTGTGTGTTAAGATCATAAAGGAAGCACTAGATGGGGTGTTAGGATATTACATGATGAGCATTAGATGGTGTGTTAAGATATTACATGATAAGCATTGGAAGGGGTGTTAAGATATTACATGGCAAGGACAAGATTGGATGTTAAAATAGTACATGGTAATGACAAGTTAAGATGTTAAGGTATTCAATCCCTAATAGGAACAAATTCAATGAAATTGAATACTTAACAGATATGTAAGCATTGAATACTCAGTTTTTTTAGACATACAATGTACTTCCCATTTATTACTATTAGTATGTATAGTGGGATGTGTCCTAATTTATGACCTTGAATTTTGGTAAGAGTTATCTCACCTTTTTCTAATTAATAAAAAAATCAATCAATAAAAATTTAGCCGGTAAAAAAAAATGTTTTAATTTGTCATTCTTTTTTAAAGTTTACATGATAAGCATTCCACCGCAGGGGTGTTATTGATATTAAATTTAAGCATTATATGGGGTGTTAAGAAACATTTTCCCCAGCACTTCAATGCAATCTTTGTTAATTAACTACTGCTTAATTAATGACATTTTTGAAACTTTTACATCGGTATATCCTTTTCTAATAAAATGCTTTAATATAAATTCATTAAATTTATATAGCTTGACGGATATTAAGCTATATCCGAAATTCGTAATATCCGTGATGGAAATCCTTAACCGAGTTTTGCTGTACATAATAACAAGATGGGGTGTTAAGATAGTACATGGGAAGGACAAGATGTGATGTTAAGATAGTACATGGGAAGGACAAGATGTGATGTTAAGATAGTACATGGGAAGGACAAGATGGGATGTTAAGATAGTACGTACTAAGGACAAGATGGGATGTTAAGATAGTACATGGGAAGGACAAGATGGGATGTTAAAATAGTTCATACTAAAGACAACATGGGATGTTAAGATATTACATGGGAAGGACAAGATGGGATGTTAAGATAGTACATGGGAAGGACAAGATGGGATGTTAAGATAGTACATACTAAGGACAAGATGGGGTGTTAAGATAGTACATGCTAAAGACAAGATGGGATGTTAAGATATTACATGATAAGCACTAGATGGGATGTTAGGATATTACATGATAAGCACTAGATGGGGTGTTAGGATATTACATGATAAGCACTAGATGGGGTGTTAGGATATTACATGATAAGCACTAGATGGGGTTTTAAGATATTACTTTGTAAGCACTAGATGGAGTGTTAAGATATAACACAGACAGAATTTGGCTTGGTGAAGATGGAGGTGTTAAGATATTAAACAGTAAGCATTTGGCAGGTTGAACAATTTATGCTTTTCACAAAGTTATATTAGAATTTACCTGTTCAGGTATTGTGGTAAAATTGTAAAAATGAATATAGATAAAACAAAGGCATGTAAATGGGCAGATTAGTTCATGATTTAGAAATGAAACTGTAATTTATAGAACAAAAGAAAGAAAACCATTACAGTAAATATCATAACTTATTTTTTGTAGAATGGCATTTGGAAACTTTTAACCAGGATATTGACCTTTCAACTATAGGCACGGAAGAATTAGTCGACAAACTTAAAAAGTTCTACTGCGAAGCAAGACCTTGTAAGACACCTAATGAAGAGTACCATAAAAATACCCTCAAAGGCATACGTGCTGCAATCAACAGACGACTCTCAGATCTTGGAAGGGATATTGATATTGTCAACGACAAGTCATTCAAATCAGTAAACAAATGCATGATAGGTATGTTGAAAGAACGGAAAGCAGAGGGGTTATCACATTCAACGAATAAAAGGGAACTCATCTCAGAACAGGACCTACAAAAAATCTCAGCTTTTCTAGAAACTGCGTATTCCTCACCATTTAACCTACGGTGGGCAGTGTGGTACATTATAGCCGTTCATTTTGTATCTCATGGATTTGAGTTTCATAGTCAACTTAAAATAGACTCGTTTCAGTTCAAAACTGATGAGGAAGGAAAGACCTACGCCTGTCTTTCTCACGAAATAAAACCAAATCCACAACAAAACAAGCTTGTCAATGTAAAATCTCACGTGAGGACCGACATACGAATGTATGAAACACAATCCACAGTTTGCCCTGTAAAGTTGCTGAAGTTCTTTCTTTCAAAAACCGTATCGAAAGCTACTAGTTTTTTTAACAAGTGTGTGAGAGAGTCCCTCACTGACCCTTCTCTTGATTACTGGTATTCCAATAATCCTTTGAACCAAAAAGGAATAATGAGTTTCCTGCCTAAACTTTGCAAATTTGCTGAATGTAAACGCTACACAGGTCAGTCTCTCCGGCTGGCAGCTCTCCAGCATGTGAGGGATAGGTGGTACTGAAGAGGACCTAATTATGTGCGGGCATAGGGAGGAGTCCGAACACAGCAACAGCAAAGAGGGGGCTTCAGATAATGAGGGAGGAAACACAGAGTCCAATCACAGCAAGGACAAAGAAGGGGATTCATGTGAAGAAGAAAGGTGAAAACAGGACAATGCATTAAATAACCAAGGTCATAAAAAAATGGGCTTCAGATGTAGAAGGAAAGTGAAAATAGGGAGGAATTGAACCAAAGCAACAGGAAAGAGCAGACTTTAGATGAAGAGGGGGTGAAAACGGGACAATGTGTTTAATAACAAAAGTTGGATATCCAGCCTTGGTCAATTCTGTGTCCATGATAATAAATGATTGGGAGGCCATTTGGTAATGAACAATTATTTTGTTTTTTCTACTAACCTTGATTATTACCAACAACAAATAAATCATTAAAATGTTAAGTTTTTAATAAAATGTTTGTTATACACATTTCTTATGATGTGAGTTGTTAATGACTGTGGAAATAAAAGTTTTGTACATTGTACAGCTCCTGTGAGCCATTTTGCGATTTTCATAAGAAATAATATAAAAATGAGGAAAAAAAATCTCAAATTAACATTAGATTAAAAACGATTTTAAATTTTTTAAAATTCATGTTTAACAATTATTTTGTTTTTCATTTAATAAATCTTGATTATTACCAACAGAAACAAAATAATCATCAAAATGTTAAGATTTTAAATACATTTTAATAGTTAACTGTTATACACATTTCTTATGATGTGAGTTGTTAGTGACTGCACTTTCAGAAATATAAAGTTTTGTACATTTTACTTTTTGGTTAGCTCCTGTGAGCTTCTTTCTGGTCACTTTTGACGTGTTTTTCTATTTTCAATTAAAAGAAATGGATTATTTACTCATTTAAATTATTAGGTCACCTGAGTAACTCAGGTGACCTACAAAATTGAATTTTCTGAAACCAAAAAAATTTGGTATACTCAAATTAATAAATATTAAATTAAAAACGATTTTAATCTTTTTAAAAGTAATGTAAAACGATTCATTTAAACCAGCAATATAAAATAGAATCGTTCCTTTTCTCTGCTTCTGAAAATTTTACAATCAACTTTCAGATATTTTATGCCGTAGTCGTTATATAGTTCTTTTGTAAAACAGGCCCCAAATAAACAAACTGCTTGTCCTTTAATAAAGTGTTCATCTTTTCAACTTCTTTTCAAGAACCACAGGGAAAATTTAAAAAGTTCTTTCAAAGTACCTTTGGGTGAAGAGGATTGTGAATTGTTAAGATAAAATGCCAAGTCCGAGTATATAGTGAAAATGCATTTGTTCTTTGTGGGGCAACAAGTATAGAGATCAAAGTTTAACATTGAAATGCATAGGCAAAACTTTGATTACTGTAAAACGAGAAAATTTGGCGCATACATATTTTAGCGTAAACGCAAGTGGGAATGCATTGGCACAAATAAATTTTAGCGCTTGCACTTTCAGTAAAATATATAAATATGATTTTTTTTATCTACACCCGTATTTGACTTTTTGGTTAGTGAAGCAAGGAAAGACATTAGGACTTCCGCATATCAGTAAACGTTCTTTAACTTTACCACGGTACGTGTTGCTATAATATCACATGGACGTGGCACAATGTCAAAATTTATTTTATTTCTATTTTCAATTAAAATATATAGATTATTTACTCATTTAAATTATATTAAAACAATGATGCGTGCATCGACAGAAAATTACTATGATAAAACGGTAATATTAATCAGGTATTGTCTGCAAGCTCAATTGCCATGCTTGATTGCATTGTTTACCTCCAGGCGGTAGATCTTCCCAATGAAGCGCTAGGTCAGAAAATTTCAAACTCATGTGGAATCTGTCTTGGATAGTGTAGATTCTAAATTGTTAAAGCCATGACCCCGCTGGGGAAGGGTGTGGGCACAATATGACTCATAATAATGTTTTACATCAGTAAAATCTTGTGAAGAACAGCAAGGCCATAGTTACTGAGATGAGCGTCTTGGCCAATTAATATGCCTTTTGTTTTTCGATAAGGTATTCGGTGAGATTTCTAACAGTCGTAAGTGAATTGTGCCTTTTAGTTTGAAATTAGTTTGTCCAGGAGGAGTAAACCGTTCACATCCATCTAGAACCTTAGACTTAAGAAATGAAGGATATGGAGATAACGAACAGTATTCAATATCAAAGTCCATAAAACAATACAAAATAGGAGCAGAGCAAACACAGACCTCCAAAATATCAGAGGTTGGATCAGGTGCCATGGAGGAGTGAGCATCCCCTGCCGACCGATCACACCCGCGTGTGCTCCTTATCATGATCGGGAATCAGATATTAATTCTGACTTCACTTAATCAGTGAAACAAAATATCAAAGTATAGAAGGGTTTTTTTTTTCTTAATATTTGTATTTATTTATTTAAATAAATTTCAGGGTTTGACACAAACGGTATCCTGATAGCCTTGAACAATTGAAAAATTGGATTTATCTACTTAACTTGCCTTAAAGCCTTTCCTGCACGGCTACTGTTTTTTAACAAAACACACACTCTGAGCAAATGTAGAGATTACTTTTAACAATTAAATTCAAAGTGGTCCTCCAATTTCGTTGTCTTAGTCGATTTGATGTCATTATTAATGGCATATTGTCTAATATATAAATATAAACGCCCTATCAAAACATTTCACGTTCTGAAACATCTTGTTATAGGTAATGCACATGTCTTCTAAATAATCAAAGTACTGAAAGCACTCATGGGAGTTGAATATGGTGTAAATAAAATCTTTGATCGGGAGGTTAAGTGATTGAACAATATTACATGTATTACTTATTATTTTCAAATACAGATAACAGTTTCACATTTTTTGAGTTGGAACAATCTTGTCTTAGAGACATTGAATAGCAAAAAAAATGCATGGGCCATAATGCTTGCCTGTCTACATCAGTCCTTTTTTATACCCCCTGCTTGAAAAGGGGGAGGGAATTTATTACTCCTCTAATACCACTGAACAAAATTTTCATAGAATCTTTATTACATATTGCCGTTGTGCTTCTATTACTTTTTCATCCTACACATATTTTGGGTTTCCCATTGCAAAACATGCACACTGCCATATTCATTTTAGAGGCGGTTGATCATTTATATATATCACTGCTCACAGTCTTCAAATTTGCAATATATTTTCCTTTGCACCTTTACCTATGTGTTATGAAAATTTCAGTTTCGAAGGAATAATATCAATGTTGGTTAAATGTGGATTTTAACACAGCATCCTTTTAAGAGCTAACAGGTTTGTTATATAAAACATCTCTGTGAATAAAAATGTATTTCAATTACACGAACATTATACATGGAGTACGTCAGAACTTAATCTTTTTTCATGTTGTGAGGAAAAGAGCAATACCAAGTTAAAAACAAATATTTATTGACAAAACATAAAAACAGTGGTATATGTGAGAGTTTGTGTGCGTACAAATTATCTGGTATGTAAATGAGGTTTTCCTTTTATTAAAAAAAATATACTTCTTTTTGTTGATTTTAATTGCGATTTTACGAAAACATCAGGGTCTGTTTTTGGTTTTAACATTTATAACAGAGTACTAGATTGACCTCTTTTTGGCAGGTGATACTGCTGATTATGTAATAAATACGCATGTTTCCTAAAGTTTTTATGCATTAACGAATTCAATTAAACCAAGAAAATGTTCACGAAAAGTTTGAATAAGACTAAGTTTAACGTTTGCTGTCAGTTTGTAGAGCTGTCGTTCGTATATCTTTCAGTGTATGACGCTACACTAAAAATGAGTTCCATTACGAAAAACTTTCATGGTTCTTTATAATTTAGTTTTACATATGTACTTTGAACGAAGACTAATATTCAAAATAAGATTACTTTATCATTACATTTACTTACAATGTGAAAATTAGATTAATTCAGGAGAAAATGACATGAACTATTTGTCGCGGATGTTTATGCATGTTTTCTATTGAATATCATCGGAGTAAATCAGCCGATACAGTAGCCTCGCTTTCGTCTCTATGTAATCAACACAAATTACTGCGCATGTTAAATACGTGATGACCATGGGAGATTGAACATAGTTCAACTCCCAAAAAGTAAATAGGGACGATAAAATTTTTGAAAAGTAGGTCAAACTCTAAGGTAAAGTCACAGGGTCAAATTCATACACGTAGTATATTGAGAAAGGCTTAGTCACAGGTTTTACACATGTAATAAAAAAAAGTCTTTTCAAACTTAAAGTATTCAGGTTCAAAATTCTTAATTTATTTGGAAAGGTCTTATCGCAGGTAAGGTATATGTGAAGTATGAAAGCCCTACATGTATCTCATTCAAAAGTAATAACCAAGGTTTATATTTATTGTGACAAATGGACAAATGAATGAGATTTAAATTTCCACTCGATTTTGCGAAATTGGGGAACAGATGTATCAGCAGCGATACTCACAATCCACCTAAAAGATGGAGTTAATATAAAACCTCTACAACATTTCTACTGTCCTGTTATGTCACAGTTTTCCACAAAAAAAATGACTTTTAAGGTTTTTCCAAAGGTCAACTTTCCAAAAAAAATTATTTTTTATAATAGCTACAAAAAAATTATTTGTTATTAATTAGCTAATTTATTATTAATTATTTAATTAGAAAAGAATTTTTAAATAAAATTAAAACTTTTACAGTTCCAAGTGATACTTTCTATTTCTATGTTAATTGATAATTAATTTTTAACTTTAAACCTTACTTTATACCTAATTTTTAGACATCTTGACTTTTGATAAATCCTAAATTTTAATTCATATTTATTTGAAAAAAAATATTTTCGAATAAAATTCATTCAAAAGGTGTAATGCAAATAATGATTAAGTAAAAGCATTTTAAAAATGTATATTTTTTACTTAGAGTAATAACTTCTCATTTCTTGTATTTCAGACATCTCTATTGTACATATTACATATTATGTAAATTACTTTCCCTGCTATACAAAATTTTTCTAGCTTTTTAGCTCACCTAAGTTAAAAGCCCGTTGTCCGCTCGTCTGTCTAGCTGTCTGTTCATCTGTGGCAAAAGTTTTCACATTTTCAATTTCTCAAGAATCACTCGGCCTAATTTAACCAAATTTGGTCGAAGCATCCATGGGTGAAGGGAAGCTTAAATTATTAAAATGAACAGCCAATTCCCCTTACAATAGGAGATAATTTAGAAAAAAAAATACGATGGGGTCTATAAAAATCTTTTTATTTTCTCAAGAACCACTTGATGTTTGTTTAATATTAATATCATCTCCAGAGCAAAAAACTCTGTGTATAACCATATCAAAGCATAGAAGTGTTATTATCAAAATATAAGCCAGTTTGACTAAGACGATCTGTATTGTCTTCAATTTACTTTCTGTTTTCAGACTGGAACAAAGAATGCTTTGGGAAAGAGTTAGACATGGAAAATGTAGACCCCTCCACGCTATGCAATCTCCTATCTCGGTTTTACTGTGAGGCCAGGCCTAAATCCAACAACGCAGATGAGACCATCTATCAGAAAAACACTTTAAGGAGCATCCGGTCCGCCATTAACCGTCATCTTTTTGATCTGAAAAGACAAATCGACATTGTTAAAGGAGAAGAGTTTCGTGCCTCTAATGGGATACTGGAAGGGCTATTCAAGGAAAGAAAACGCCTTGGGTTAGCAAAATCAACCAAACAACCACCGCTGATTGACCCTGATGACCTAAAGAAAATATCTACCTACCTTCAACAAGCACCAGAATCGGCTGTTATCTTACGTCAGGCAGTATGGTATTTTCTGACGATTCATTATGTGACCAATTACATGGAATTCTTTCATCAGCTGAAAATGGATAGTTTTGAATTTAAAACCGATGGGGTTGGTGAATATGCAATAATTAAACCTGAGACATTAGGAGACAACCACGGAGTTTCCAAGGGTCATTTGAAAAGGAGGCTGTATGCTGTGGGGTCAGACGGTGGTATTTGTCCAGTAAAATTACTGAAACTTATGATCGAGAAAACTGACAAAACTGCCATTCGGCTCTTCAATAAGTACAGAAAATATGTTTGGATGGACGTAGACGAAGAATGGTTTACAGCAAAACCTATAGCAAAGAGAACGTTTGGAACCGTTCTTCCTCAAATATGCAAGGATGCTGGTGTAATAAATAGGTACGCACCCCATAGTCTGAGAGCAACCGTGCTGGCTTATCAGAATGAAGGATATGAACCACCAGATGTGATGTTCATAGCAAATCTAGCTAACGAGGACTATGCTAGATCACACACACGATGTTCTCTTACTGACGGAAGGCCCCTCAGCAGCACATTTATGTCTCTTCCATCTTCTCAAAGCCATGTTTTAATTTCCGATTCTACGGATGAATCAGATAGTTGTGAATCATAAACCCAATGGCTAATTTTTTTCAATCTCTGTACCAAAAAAATCTTAACCATTAATTTCTTTCTAAAAATATATGCGATTTTGGCAATGACCTTTACTCCTTTGAAAAACTTTTAATTTATCTACTCTTGTCTTAGCGGATCATGTGCTTGCAAAAGCTTTTATTTATCCACTTTTCTCTTAACAAATCATGTGATTGATATTCCGTCATAACTAATGATCATGCTAGAGGTTACTGGAAAAGGTCGGCAAAATTAGTTCCGAAACAGTTGAAACATTTAATCACAGTGATGCAGAATACGAATAAAAATATATTAAAACATATAGTTAATGTGTGTTTGTCTATTAGGCCAAAAAATATTAGTCTTGTTTCCTGCTACCCGACCTATCCTATTTTTTGCATCCGACTCCAAAGTTTTTTAAAGTTTTTTTTTATTTGGTTGTTTTTCATGACATATATGTTTTAAAATATTGACATTCAATCATAGAATTCGGCTTGAGTTGTGCATCAAAAGATATGGAATTTCATTTAAAAGATAAAAAAAAAACATTGACCTATGATACGTTAAATCTGGTTTTATATTAGTTCATATCCCAAAATACCGTTGGAAAAAATAAATATGTTTTAAAATATTGACATTCAATCATAGAATTCGGCTTGAGTTGTGCATCAAAAGATATGGAATTTCATTTAAAAGATAAAAAAAAAACATTGACCTATGATACGTTAAATCTGGTTTTATATTAGTTCATATCCCAAAATACCGTTGGAAAAAATAAAGCAAAGAAATAAGATATTTTTCCGACCTGCCTACCATTTAATTCAGGCTGGTAGTAGGATACAAGGTGATTATTTTGGGGGGGGCCTTTATATAGCATATATATAATAATTTGTTTTATACCTAGTAGCAACTAGTGATACTTCATCAATGTATTACTGGCAAAATACCTTTATTTTAGTTGAAGAATTTAAATGAAGTTACAGTTTGTATTCCATATGTATTTTTAGCTGGCTCAAAGAGCTAATGCTATGGCCATTGTGTGCGTGAACTTTTTAGAATATGGGCAATAACTAAGGAACCCCTTGGCCAATCAGTGTCAAATTTGTCACAGGGTATCCTTGGCCCAAGTGCTACCATTTGTACTAAAATAAGGGTTGGGACCCTTAAACAAGGGGGAGCTAATCAGGAAAACAAAACCAAAAGTACTGGTTGCTAAAAAAAATTTTCAATAACCACCAGATTTTCACCAAACTTACTTGCACGGATCAGGATATGTCGAATATTAAAATATGCACGGGGAATTACCCTAGGGCAAAGGGCGTGGTCTCAAGGTCACTTCAAAATTCATCAAAATCTACACTTAATAAAACGTTTATATTTTGCTTACTATAAGGACTAGGATCATGAAATCTTGTAGGTTGATGCATCTTAGGACTTCACATCATGTTAACTCAAAAGTAGGTCACAGTGACCTACTTTTTAAATTTTGCAGGCATTTGTTTTCAAATTGATTTGAAGGCCTATTTTTGAGTCTTAAGGCCTTTGATCAGAAAACTTTGTCAGTTTATGTATCCTTGGTCCTTGAACTACGCCATCTTAAAAGTAGGTCATCGTGACGTACTTTTTGAATTTAATGACAAATCCCTTCTAAAACATTTCATTCGATCATTTCAGACACTGAGAGGTTACGAATCATCAAATCTTGTAAGTTGATGCATCTTGGGACTTTAAAACATATTTATGAAAAAGTAGGTCACTATGACCTACCTTTTGAATTTTGCAGGCATTTGTTTTCAAATTCTTTAAAAGGCATATTTTGAATACCTTCAGACATATGATTATCAAACTTTGTCAGTAGATGCATCATGGGACTTCGAAAAACGTCTACCAAAATGAAGGTCAAGATGACCTACTTTCAAAATTTTATGGGTATATTTAAGTATCTTAGGTATTTATTGGCTTAGAATCATCAGTTTTTGAGTTGATACATCTTTGGTTTTCGGAGAATGACGACTAAAAAGTAGGTAACTGTGACCTACTTTTTACATTTTATGTCTTTATTCAAGTATCTCCGGTACTAATTGGTTTAGAATCATCAAACTATGTCAGTTGATGCATCTTGGATTTTCGGAGAATGTCGACCAAAAAGTAGGTCACGGTGATATAAAAATAAAAAGTAGGTCACGGTAACCTACTTTTGAATATCTCGGATACTTATTGGCTTAGAATCATCAAACTTTGTCAGTTGATGTATCTTGGGTTTTCGAAAATTGTCTACTAAAAAGTAGGTCATTGTGACCTACTTTTGACATTTTATAAGGCTATATTGAAGTATCTCAAATACTTATTTGCTTAGAATCATCAAACTTTGTCAGTTGATGCATCTTGGGTTTTCCAAGAATGTAGACAAAAAAGTAGGTCAATGTGACCTACTTTTGACATTTTATGGCTATTTCTAAGTATCTCAGATACTTATTGGCTTAGAATCATCAAACTTTTTCAGTTGACGCATCTTGGGTTTTCGGGGATTGCAAACCAAAAATTACATCACCTTGACCTACTTTTGACATTTTATGGCTATTTTCGTATCTCGAGTACTGATTGACCTAGAATTGTTAAACTTTGTCAGTTGGGGCATCTTTGGTTTTCGGAGATTGTCGACCAAAAAGTAGGTCATAGTGACCTACTTTTGAATATCTCAGGTACGTATTGGCTTAGAATCATCAAGTTTTGTCAGTTGATGTATCTTGGGTTTTCGAAATTCGTCTACTAAAAATTGGGTCACAGTGACCTACCTGTGATATTTTATGGCTATGTTTAAGTATCTTGGGTACTCATTGGCTTAGAATCAGCAAACGTTGTCAGTTGATGCGTCTTGGGTTTTCGGAGAATGTAGACAAAAAGAAGGTCACAGTGTCCTACTTTAAAATATGTCAAGTACTTATTAGCTTGACATATTCTAAAGTAGGACACTGTTACCTACTTTTTTTCTACATTCTCCGAAAATCCAAGTACTTATTGGCTTAGAATCTTCAATCTCTGTTTATTAATGCATCTTGAGTCCTCAGACTCAGACCTATTTATGGTTTTTTTAAATAGCTTTTTTTAAAGTATCTTCAGTCCTTATTGCCTAAAAATCATCAAACTTTGTCAGTTGATGCAACTTGGGTCTTAGGATACTTAGAGTTAGAGGCTTCAAATAGAAGTGATAGATTGTAAAATTTATCAGAAGAGCGATTCGAGGCCCTTGGGCCTCTTGTTATTCGTTGACTTTGAAAAAAGTGCATGTGTTTATGTGAAAGTACAATGTAAGCACGTGGGTAATGTTGTATATTTGTCATAATTAACGGAGCAGAAATATTGACTTTGTGATAATGTTGCATTTTCGTAGGAGTTCAAATTTTAAATATATTCAAGGGCCCTCCACACACACCCAACTTATGTTATCATATTACCGACCATTACTAATAAGAAGCATATCAACCTTTAAAAACTGATCAGGAATTAAAAAATAATTTATACTGAATTTTTAAAATAATAATTTAACAACTTTCAAGATATTTTACCCAAGGCTTTTTCATACCTAGCACAACAAATTTTGTCTTACCCTTTTGTATATTTTAAAGCTCACAAAATAACCAAAAAAACTTGATTTTATATATCAACAATATTTTTAGAGAAATTTGTTTAATTTATTAGTAAATCTAATTATACTGAAGACACAATACAATCATATTATTTCGTCAACGTCTGATAATTGAGTTATATATTTTGAGAAATGCACATATTTGACCAGTTCCGAATAAGAAACCGATTTGATTGTGCTATAAATATAGAAATTATTATTTCAAATTTGTTTGTCAAAGTAGTTCAATGACTTGTGGACTTGTGGAATTAAATATAGTTTCAAATAAGTTGTTTTTTTTTTTTAAATTAGCAATGTAACATACTCATTTTACAAATTAAGAACAAGCCGACGAATTCCTAATACTCTACCGCTTTCCATGCATTTTGACCTTGAATTAAAATTTGCGTTATTCATTGACATGTTTGGGGAAAAGTATCGAGGTTGAAAATGCCGTATATCCTTTTTTAATTTTTTTTTATTCGTAATCCATAATTACTTTTTTTTTAATAATTCATGACAACTTAAAACTACATGATAGCATTTTATTTATTCAGGCCATTAAGAAACCTGATCCAAAATCATTGATGTAAATATATAGTCACTTAAACGATATACTATTGTACATAATCTAAAATTGCACGTTATATAAATCTCACAATACAACATTACACTTTTTTGTATTTTTCACTCCTTTGATTTATATATGTATATATTTTAAAATTTCTAAACGCTACTTATCTTTATCAAATTATAAACTTACTCTTTTGATATCTGTAAGCTAACTAGTTGAGCTGAAAGCTCAAGTGATCATTTCTCATCGCCCGTTGTGCGTCCGTCTGTCTGTAAACTTTTCACATTTTTCAACTTCTCAAGAACCACTGGGTCAATTTTCACCTAAACAGGCACAATAAGATGGAGGGTAGTGTACAATTTCGGACACCCTGTATAATACACAAAACGGTATTAAGGAGTTTGATGTTTATAACAAAACAGAATCATTCCTTGCAGTTTATTATAAGCTTGCTTATCTGTATTTTTCGTACTTCAACGAAGAAAGTAAAGCTAATCTCCTTGCACATATTTATTTAATAAAGTGCCAAAACGTAAAATAAAAAATTATGGTTGCTAATAAATAACAATAGTTGACAGATTAACTGCAGTGAAGAGTTGCATATCTTCCTTTTGTCGATCTTAAAACCCATATCTTGTCTATGCTAAAAAAACAGAACCATAAAACATATGTAGTATATCATTTTGATTTATTTTTTCAAAATAATTTCCAACCGCTGATAGTGGATCGATGTCGGCGCGCACTGTGTATTTTTGCACTGACATTGACACCTGGTGATGAACATATGTGTATTTCATCCCCT